TTGTGTTTTTTCATTGTATTTAAAAAACATTAGAAAAATAATAAATTATTGGATTCCATTACCCGCGGCAATCCGCCCTTTAATTTCCGGTTTCACAGAGAATTCAAAGTCATTACTCGACAGCTACTGTGTTATGTCTATGTTAGTCAATTTCATGAGTTTAAGCTTACATTTACCAAGAAGTTGATGTCAACCAGTGCCTACAACTATTTAGGAGGCCTTTTTATATTCTGAATAAACCCAAATGGGCGGCTTGGTCCCTTGTTTATGGTTTACTATTAAGTTTACTTTGTTTCTTTGTTAAGCACAGCTAGTAGAATACATATATTAATTTACTAATTAATTGAAAAACGAGATTTTACTGTATTATATGACATTCACTAACCCTTTCGCCGAATAAAATTCTATTTCCTTACCGAAACAGGATCCAACTGCTGGATCAGCAACGGATCTAACTTTGACATTGATAGCCGTCTTTCCTCAATTACGCCAAATTCATGCCACAGCTCAACCAATGCAGCAGGTGGGCCAAGAATATAAGTTTCCACAATATGATTATTTACTAGTTCCCGTACCCATCGTGAAAGTGGACGATTGTGGTGTTTTCGACCATGAATTGCTAAAATTTAACTCAGATAATACTATATAGAGGTAATGGTTGAATAATTCCACTTTTTTAAAGCAATTTCGCTAAAAAATTAAAATGGTTCCTATCCTTTTTAGACCTTTAGTCAGCAAATCATAGAATCTAGAATTTCTTTGAAGAGTTCTTGGAAGTACACGAAAAAACTTACCAAGTACAATTGTAGCCATCAAAGTACCGAGAACAATGACCATAATGATGGTCATATAGTACCAACCTAAAGAATATTAACCCTTTATTGTAGGTGTGGTTGTATTTAGCTAATCCTTTAAAATATGTAACCCTGTCCACTCACTCATTAAAGGGACGTAAGTGGACGTAGATGGCATCTGATTGCACACCATTAACATCATAATCGACATGGTCAGAAGTGTATTGATGCCGAGGTATCTGAGATGTAAAGCTTTGTTCCGCTATTGACGTAACTTGGTTTTATTAATCAAAGGCCCTTTAAACTTACAATTTCTCATCCCTTTCACTGGATGTTGAGGTAGGAGTGAAGAATCCCGTAATAGCGACAATTGTGATTATAGAAGTTGGGATTACCTACAAAGAAAGAATTTTTTAAAGAGTTTATAAAAAAACACTTTTCCAATTTTACCAGATTTATCACATAGTAGAGTGGTTTCCTCCGAATAATTAGGTGAGCATAAAGTAATACCCATGGATTAACACAGCATTTGAAATATTGCTGAAACTACGCTATAGCAAAAATAATGTATAAGTAAGAGAAAATGAATAAAGTTCACCTCAACTCGTTCAAATTCGAAACCCAATACTTCCCATTCGTCGTTACGAGCCATATTCTTCAGGTTCACCAATTGGGACGTAGGCCAATAGTCGATAGATGCTTTGTCATGGGTCCAACTTGAGATTATAAATGTACAATTTTGAGAATCGTAGGGGAACCATTGTACCTAAAGTTTTTCACATTTTATCAACACTTTG